TGTATTACAATAAACATTCCAAAGATGAATAATCCATTGAACAGAAGTAAGAATGACTAATAAACGCATGAAAAAAGTTGAGCATCTTTGGACATAAAGGAAATGCAAACTGATTCCTTCACACCCCAGCCAGAATGGCAAACATCAAGAGAACAAATAACAAATATTGTCAAGAATGGTGAGGAAAGGGAAGGAACCTTTAGAGCCTTTTAGTGAGAATGGGCATTGGTTCAGCCTCTATGGAAACTACTAGAGACTCAAATCTAATAGAACTGCTGTAGCATCCCACCACATTATCCTTGGGATTATCTCCCAGGAACCAGAGCCACCATACAATAAAGATACTGTGTACCGTGTTTACGACAGCAGCATCCACAAGTCAACGTATAGAACTAGCCTAGGTTGCCCATCAATGAAAAAATAAACTGTGTAGATACACAATGGGATATTATCCATTCACAGAACAGAATGAAATTACATCATTTAAGGAAGAGTTAATGGAAGTAGACATCATCACATTAAATAACAGAAGTCAGACTCAGACCAGCAATGTCTGTTTTCTCTCCTATGCAGAATCTAGTTGTTTTAGAGACACGGAAGTAGGCATGTTCTACTGGGGGACAGAGACACAGCAGGAGGGAGGGACAAATTGAAACCATGGGTCAGCTATCAGGATGCAATGGGGTCTCAGCATCACTTCTGTGTGGGAGCTCACAAGGGACTCAGTTTCCCAATTTGAATCTGAAGTCTATTCTGAGTCAATAGAGTTCGGACTCGTCTGCTCCATGGCTGTGAGAAAGTCCTGACTAGCCCAAGGGAATGAACACACTATCTAGCCAGACTCAGACTGCTGATGTGAGCCGGAGGTACATCGAGATAGAAAATGAAACTGCTTGCTCCTTGACTCAAGGACGGGAGAGATAGTGGTTGAATGCCTGTGCTGTGCATTGTTCTACCTCTGTCCTTCAAGACTGTACATAAGCTGGCTATGAAATAAACTCAGGCACTGTCTGGCAGTGACTGGCAATCCTCCCGACTCTGTTCTGTCTTCTTCATTGTCTCTACAACCCGCACATCTCCACCCAGCTACCCAGTCGACTCACTGGTAGATCCCGACACTTCTGCAATGGTCTACATTGAAGCTCAAACCTAATCATGAGAAAAAAATCAGACAAACCCAGACTAAGGAGAGACGACAACTAACCCTCATGCATAATTCTCTATATAAGCCATTGCTGTGCAGCTAGCAAAACTGAGTGGTGCCCGGGATTAAAATGTGTTACTTTCTTCTGCTGATTGTGGTCATATCAAAAAGTATGATCTAATATATGGTGGGGGAGAAACGCTAAAGACTTGAGATCATGGGTTGTTATTTTGTAACTATCAAATGATTCTTAAAAAAAAGTTCTCTGTATTATGTTTACAACCTTCCAAAAGTTTGATAATGTTTCAAAATGGGGGGAGGGAGAGCAGGAACAATCAAAATATTTGAGAACATGTTCTGAGGATTGGTGGGGCTCAGACATGTAAAATGCTGGGTGTGGCATCCACCATATAGTTTCAATAAATTATTAAATAATATAGAAAGTTATTCTTTCTCCGGAGGTTCATGTGTTTAATATTTCCTACAATTTTTTTACTCCTTTGTTGCTTTTTATTTATTTATAGTATTGAGGATTAGGCCCAGGGCCTCTCTCCAATGTTAGGCAAGTATTCTACTAAGATACATCTTTAGCCCCTTTTTATTTTCTCTTGAGACAGTCCGTTGCTAAGTGTCCCAGCTGGCCTTGAGTTTACCTGCAAAGCTGGGATTACAGACAAGTTCTGCCATGCCTGGCTTTTCATTTTAAACTGGTTTGGTTTGGTTTGGGTATATAGGTCAGGGTTTCTCACCCTCAGCACAATAAGTTCTTTAGCCAAATAACACTGCTATGAAGGTCTACCTTTGCACTGCAAAACATCCACAGCATCACTGGCACTGCAGAACATCCCACAGCATCACTGGCATTTCAGAACATCCAGCATCACTGGCACTTCAGAACATCCCACAGCATCACTGGCATTTCAGAACATCCACAGCATCACTGGCACTTCAGAACATCCACAGCATCACTGGCACTGCAGAACATCCACAGCATCACTGGCACTTCAGAATATCCCCAGCATCACTGGCACTGCAGGACATCCACAGCATCACTAGCACTGCAGAACATCCACAGCATCACTGGCACTGCAGGACATCCCACAGCATCACTGGCACTGCAGGACATCCACAGCATCACTGGCACTGCAGGACATCCCACAGCATCACTGGCACTGCAGGACATCCACAGCATCACTGGCACTGCAGGACATCCACAGCATCACTGGCACTGCAGGACATCCACAGCATCACTGGCACTGCAGGACATCCACAGCATCACTGGCACTGCAAAACATCCCACAGCATTACTGGCTTCTGCTCACTGGATATCAGCAGCACTCTTTGGTGTTAAAAACCAAACTACTTACTGTCTGTGAAGTGCCTGCCATAGAAACATGAGGCCCTGAGACCAGATCCCCAGAACTGAAGTGAGAAAACCAGGCATGGCATAAGGTGGACAGTGGAGACAGCCAGATTCCTGAAGCTCGCAGCCAGTCTAGCTGCATCAGTGAGCTTCAGGTTCACTGAGGGACTCTACCCCAGAAAATAAAGGTGGGGAGTGGTCAAGAAAAGATAGCAGATGTCAACCTCTGGCCTGCATGTGCGTGTGCATACACACACACACACACACACACACACACACACACACACACACACACACAAACTACTGAGTACATAGCACACACACACACACACACAAACTACTGAGTACATAGCACACACACACATACATGCACACATGCACATGTACTAGCAAATACACATGAATGCAAATGTCCACAGACACCCAGAAACATTGAGTCCCCCAGATCTGGAGTTACGGGCAGTTTTGAGCTGCCTGACATGGATGCTGGGAACCTAACTTGGGTCCTCTGGAAGAGCCACTGGTGCTCTTCACTGCAGAGCCACCTCTCTAGCCTCCTTCTGTATTTTTAAAGCTAGTCATTCATTCATTCATTCATTCATTCATTCATTCACATAATTTATAGGTAGATCCTGTTTACTGATCAGTTATTTTCGTTCTCTCTAAAGAATTCTTTTGGACATTTTCTGAAAGCCTAAACACATTCCCCCAGAAGTCTTTATGTATCCTTGACTTTTGAAGGACCTTGACTTTTGATGGACCTTGACTTATGATGGACCTTGACTTTTGGTGGACCTTGACATTTGAGGGATTTTGACTTTTGATGGACCTTGACTTTTGATGGACCATTTGCTGTGATACAGATCCCAGGTTGGTGGAATTTTTTTCCCCTCAACACTTCAAATATCTCACTCTACTCTCGCATGATGACTGTAATTCTTTTTTGAAAAATATTAACTTTATTACTTTTAATTGCATGGGTCTGTGCATGTGTGTGGGATACCCTCAGAGGTTAGAGCATCAGATCGCCCTGGAGCTGGAGTTACAGGTGGTTGTGAGGACCGAGACTGAACTCAGGTCCTCTGTGAGGGCAATAGGTGCTCTTGACCACTGAGTCCTCTGGCACTGTTCTTATCTTTCTGCCTCTCTGAGAGAATGTGTTTATTTCATAAGCAATATAGGTAGCAAAGCCCAGACTACATGACTTCGGAGATGAGCACAGTTGCCCAGGTAAGACAGCAGGGCGGGAAGGACACTAGGCATGGTAGAAAGAGAAGCTCCTCCTGGAAACTCATGGTACCCATCTCAAAGGCAGGAGTGTTTCCTCAAATGACCAAATACATCAGCTTCTTACTAGGAAAGGTGCTTGTTCCATCGGACAAATGATGTAAAAGATGGAGTTTTGTGTGTTTATCCAGGAGCTTGGCTTTTCATGAGCACATATAAGTCACTGAACTTCTGAGTAGTCACCAAATCCTGTTTTCTGCTGTTGGGATACAAGTGGACTGCAGTTCTCAATCTCATTTGCAAATAGGCAGAGTCACATGGTTCTACAGTTACCAGCAGATTGTAGACAAATGGTGAACTAAAACAAAAGACAAACTTCAATTCGAGACCCAGCCCCTAAAAGCCTTTTTATGAGGGGCTGGAGAGATGGCTTAGTTCTTAAGAGGTCACACCACTCTTCCAGAGCCCCAGAGTTTGACCTCCAGCACCATGTTAGGTGGCTTACAACTCCCTGAACTCTAACTCCACAATATTTGACACCTCTGACCTCCACAGGCACATGTATACATGCAAACATACACATATACATACATATATCCATATAATTTAAAATAAAAGCGTCTTATAACCCTCTCTACTACCTTACTTCTCCTATCTGCTGGCAGAAACCCATCAGACGAGGTCCTGGGAGATGACAGCCACAGATGGAAGATCCTTAAGTGGCAGCATACATGACTGACCTTCTGAAAATGACTACCTTCTGAAAATGTATTATGAATGTTAATTGACTTAATTTATCAGTCACATAAATTTATTGTTGTTGCTGCTGCTGCTGACCTTGAACTCACAATCTTCCTGCCTCAGACTCCCAACTGCTAGGACTACAAGTGTGCACCACCATGCTTGGCAACTCCATGGACTTTTTACAAACCTCTTTGTATTTTTGCTACAGTAATTGGTTAATACACAGGAGAAGACAGACTTGTATCTGTATCCATAATGGGACGGGAGCAGCTGTTAGGACTGTCGACCTTTCTGTCAAGAGAAATGCACATCTTAAGAAAAAAAGTATGCAAGAACCACTGACCCTCATGCTGATATATCCATTTATTTGGCAAAAGCTTAGATTTTCTCTGAATGAAGATGTCAAGGAGAGAGCAGAAAGGCTCTCAGCTGGAGTGAGTGTCCCTATAGGAAGCAGGCAGTATTCCTCCCAGACACAGTCACGCTCCAACCTACACCAGCGGTGGACCACAGAGAAACTAGCTAGAGTTTCATCAGGGTTTTAAAGGGTTCTCTGGAAGAGAAAAATTAGATGGTTAGACATCAGTATCCCCAGGCATGAATCCATATCCAAACAGCAATACCTCAAGCTCCAGAAAACAACAGAATTTCTCTGTTACAACAGGAGTTACCCTCAGAAATCAATTTTCTGAGCCACCAAGACAGCTTGGCATAGAGCACACATCACCAAGACCAAGCCTGACTACCCAACTTCAATCCCAAGGACCCCGAAGGTAGAAGAAAACCAGCTCCTACAAATTGTCTCTGACCTCTACACACACAGCGACACACGTGAGTGTGCACACACTAAATAAATTAACTTTAAAACAAATTAAAGCAATTTCCCCAAAAGGTTTGCTGATTGAGAAGACAGGTGGATACAAGGTCTTCTAGGGTCTGGCTGAGAAAAAGGAACCAGTTTGGGGTCTTTTAGACAAAGGAGGGACATATGAACTGGTGGGTGATGCTGTATGAGAAGCAAAGAAACTGAGTGAGAGTTGGGGGAGGGGAGAACAGACCCCATGTCAGTGTCTTGGTTTCTTCATGAATGGTAACCTGCATTTAGAGACAGGAGGTTCTTGCTTTATCTGACTCTTTCTGTGGCTGGAATTTAGATGACTGCCATTTCCTGCAACTTGTAAATAGTGGGTTGAATAGTGTATGAGGAGCAGAACTCGAGCATGCCCACGCCCTCATCTTCTTAACCCAAGCCACTCACTCATTGTCCAAGCAGATGTTTCCACAGTACGTCCAGCAGCACGTTTGGTTTGGTCTCAAACATCTCAGCACCCTCGTGCACCTTGATCCACAGAATGTTTTTGGAGGCTGTACCCAGCACTGGTTGATTTCTTTGACGTTATCTGGAATTGAGATGCTAAAGGTTGGCAGGGTCTACTTACTCAAAATGTGCAGCAGAAACCCGTTCAGGCCTTCAGACTGAGCGAACCCTTCTGGAACTTAGATGCTTCATGCCAGGAAGAATCTCTGCTGTCCATGAAAATCCCTCCAGTTCTAGCCAGAGATCATCCTTGTAATGACAGACATTCCTTCCTCCCAGGTGTCACCAGAGCACTGCGGGATCCTGGGTCCTAAAGCTCAGACCAGGGTGCCTTCCCAACGTACACCACCTGACCAAATTTATACTGATAAAGCCTTAGACTTCAGAGCCTGCAACCTCATCGAGTTCTGAATTCTGTACCCAACATGCAGAATAAGAAAACTGATAGTAATCTCAATTTCTACTTTTCTATTTGCTTCCCATCAATAGCCATTGAAGTATATGCCGCCCTAAAATCACACTCTCAGTGTCCTGAAGCTTTTCTGCCCAGTTCCTCTGTTGCTTTCACTTCCTTATCGTGTGTGTGTGTGTGTGTGTGTGTGTGTGATTTTTATAGGGACCCTCATTTATTTTCTCCACTTTTTCAGGCCCCAACTGCTCTCAAACAAAATGGATGTGATTAATATCACCATCGTGTTATTCATCAATTTCTCGCCCAGTCAAATCAATCTCAAAGAAAAACTTGGTGTTAATGTTTCCTTTAAGTGAGTCTAACTGAGCTGGTCTGATGGAAAACTGTTTCCTAGTGCTCTGTGGGGTGTGGAAAAGGCTTTGTTCTCTTCCCACATTCCTGGTATTGCTTTCAGAGATGCAGAGGGAGTTTGGAGGGACACTAGATTGGAAGCATCCAATGCAATCTAACTGGGGTGTCTCTGCTTGAGGACAGCTCTGATTTTTAAAGTTTTTGTCGTGTGTGTGTGTGTGTGTGTGTGTGTGTGTGTGTGTGTGTGATGTATGCATGTGGGTGCAGGCAGGCATGTACCATGGTACACATGTGGAGGCCAGGGGACACCTTTCGAGCGGTCTCTCCACCACACATTCCAGGGATCAGGTTGTCAGTGTCTGCCCTTCTGAAGGCTGATTTTGAAATGTGGTCCCTAAGTCAGTGATGACAGATATGCCAGGAGTGGATGGAGCATCCTCATTGCCACACTACTGCTGTTGCCGTGTTTACCCTTGAGTCTTCCCAGAACATGCAGAAACATCACAATCCCGTGGATGGACACAGTGAGGAGGAGCGTCCGGAGCCTCATGGCAGACTTGGCATTTACAGGAAGACAAATCTTCATCCACTGCAGCTAGAAGCAGAAAAGAAATGAAGGCACACTGGCAAGAAGCAGAAGGGCACGCTGGGGGACGTGTTCACTCTGTGTCCTGCCCTTCCTGTCCCTCTGGCCCTCACATGTATACCAACTCCTTCACTAGCCATCAGCTTCCCTCAGGCTGCTTCCCATCTCACACAATACACATACACACACACTCACACACTCACACACCACACATACACACACACGAATACACACACACACACATATATATATGATTTTTATAAAGGACCATAGTTTATTTTCTCTACCTTTTAGAATACATTGATTTCTCTATGGAAAACAAGGAACCCTTAGATTATGTAATTTTTAAAGTACAAAATACAATGAGGAAACAGAGAAATAATAATTTTTCAACCTGATGACCACCACCAGTATGTGTGTATACTTTTACATTATACTCATTATTATGTAAAATTAGATACATCAAATGTCCTGATATTTTATTTAGAAACATATGTAATATGTTAATGCTCAATAAAACGTGCATGTGTGCACATGCATGCGTGTGTGTGTGTGTGTGTGTGTGTGTGTGTGTGTGTGTGTGTGTATACAAAAGTAGAAGTACTTGTGTTTTTTTCAAATATGCCACAGTGGAATGTTTTAGTCACTTTTGTGTGTGTTTTCTGAAGATGCCTGCTGTGTACAGCAAAAGTCGTGGATTCCTATGCTCTGCTTTCCTATTTGTTATAGTAACTTGCACATGTGTTTTCTAAAGATGCCACTGTGTATTGCTAAAGATACATGTTCTAATACTACTCTGCTCTCCCATTTTTTTTTATTCAGTTAATATCTTGGTACCACGCTAATAAACACGCTGCTCTAGGTGATGTAGAGAAGGCAGGCCTGGTTGGATTCCTGTCCCCTAACTGAATGGAAACAGCTTTTATAGCAGTCTGACATAGTATTTGTCAGCCACGTGAGACTATTTAAAGTCATGAAAATCAAAGTAAAGTGTAAATCTTCAGTGATTTCCGACATTCAATAGCGACATGTAACTTAGATACGTTGCACAGACAGTTCATGGAATACATCCGTAAGCATAAAAAAGTTTTACTGACCATTGCGTAGCTGTATGCACCTACCAAAAGGTCTCTGCAGGAAAGCAATGGCAGAGATCCTTGACAGGTCAAGTTGCAGAACTGAAGACAAAGAGGTGATTCAGAGGTCAAGAGCACACACTGCTCTTCCAGAGGACCTGAGTTCAATGCCCAGCACCCATGTGGTTCACAGCCTCCTGTAACTTCAGCTCCAGGGGATCTGATGCCCTATTCTTGCCTTGAGGTCACCTGAATTCATGTGCACGTGCCCCCGCGTGCACTTAATCAGGAAATAAAATAAAAATCTTTGGAAGAATAAAAGATAAAGTTCCCCAAGGCCTGTACACACACACACACACACACACACACACACACACACACACACACACACACACATGCACACACCCATGCCCACAGGACATGGAAATTACAAACCATCGTGCTTGTCAGAGTCCACTCGAAGACACTTGTATGTGCTCTCCAGACTTCTTCATCCCCACATCCCACTCTCTTGCCTCAGTGTGGCCAGATGATGGAAATGATGAAATTTTGAGACTCCATGGACCACTGGGCAGTATTCACGCCAAAAACTGCCGCTCTATTGGTGAAGCTTCAGGCCAAGGGGGAGCTACCATAAGTATAGTCGGCTTCCCGAAATCTCACAGGTGAGGAACAGGACAACAGGCTAACAGTGTCAGGTGTCCATTCCCCGAGGATCTGGGGGGTCTTCTGATCCCGGGAAACCACCACTACATGGCAAGGCAGGTGTACAAAATGCTCGATCATCCGCTTAGAGGCAGGGATGTGAGACAGGAGCTGAGTGGGTGAGGATGTGCATAGAAGGTGGTGTGAACTCCTGGAGCCTCCTCTGGCATAAGGAGAAAGAAGATGTGTACAGTGGCATAACACATGGAAAGTGACAGGTTCTCTGAAGTGGTTTATTTGTATTTAAAAAACTGTCCTAGACCAGAGTTATGAATCTGCTCATTTAAAGACCTCATTCTTTTTCTTCAGTATCTTTTTAATTTTTATTTTTATTTTATTTATACATGTGGGTGTGGGTGGATGGGTGAGTATGGGTGTTTGCATTCATGCAGGTGCCTGCAAAGACCCTAAGGGGCACCAGATCCCCTGAGCTGCCTGATATGGGTGCTGGGAATCCACCTCCAGTTCTCTTATCTGCTGAGCCCTCTCTGTAAGCCCCTCAAGGCTGGAGAGGCCAGGCCTTGCCATCGGGGACCTCCAACTGCCAGGGTCTACCCACAGAACACTCTGACTGATTTGAAATCCCACCAATCCCCACCTGGAAAACTCCACCCCACCCCACCCCACCCCACCCCACCCCCAAGAAACCCTATGCAAACCCTGTCTTCTGCTCAGCTCTCTGTGGCTTCTTGCCCGAGCAGAGGCAGCCACCCCCCTGGGTTCTTCCCTCCCAATAAATCTCTGTGTAAGGATTGTTGTGCGGTGTGACTGTGATATTCCTTGGCTCCCGACTGCCAGAATACCTTTCCCTTCAGAGCTGTAACACTTTTGGGGAACCTTCACTGGCCTAAGCAGAGCTATAACACTTGCAGTGGGGAAATCCATCCACTGCCCCGCCATCTCCCCCAGCCCCCCGCCACCCCCCCGACCCCCTATCCCCGGGCCAGCAGAACCGTAACTGTCTCTATCTTTCACTTATTCTTCAGCAACTTCGTAAAAATACACAATGTATCTTAATCATATCCGCCCCCAAATCCCCTCCCACTCCCTTGACACATCTTCCCACCTTCATGC